CATGTCAACAAAACAGGATGGAACAAAGTCTTTTCCCAGCATGCCTCAGCATGTGGCACTGCCTGCCTGTGGAGCCCAGACAATGATGTGGCTAAAAGTCTCCAGCTTTCAAGCAGAATAATCCCAATGGGAAGGAACCTCCCATTGTCAGCTCCTGACGAAGCGATGCAGGGGCCCTGCGCCCTGTCTGCCTGGCTTCACGCTGCGGCTCTGCCCCCTCCCAGCCGCTCTGTGCCTCAGTTTCCTCAGGTGCCAAATGAGTCAAGACCAGGCTGCTTGTGAGGACTGCTCAAGGTGCAGCAGGTGAAATCCTCAGATGAGACCTCCGTCACTGGCACTATCACACTGATCCTCACTCGTAAGCCTCTGTGCTGCTCTGAGGGGCTCGGTGGGGGCCCTGGAGCCAGACACTGAGTCCAGATCACAGCTCTGCCCCTTGCTGGCCGTGTGACTCGGGCAGATCCCCCTCTCTGTGTGGGCCCATTTCCTGCCCCGCCCGAGGAAGACGACAGCCCCTGCCTCACAGAATGACGATGGAGTGAATGGGATCGCCAGGTAAGATTCCTGACTCCCTGGAGCCAGGCGATCACCTGGCCCCTTCCCCCACACTCCCAGCTTACACAGGAAGAGACTGAGACTTGGCGCCATTGCCTGATCTGCTGCGGGGCACATGTGGGTAAGAGTAGGCTGGCCCCAGCTCAGGGACCTGCGCTGCTGCTTCCCGGTGGAACCAGCAGGGGCAGTAAGTGTGGAGCCGGGCAGGGGATGATCTTCCAAGTGACCAGGCTGTGGGGCTTCTAGATTGTCTTGCCACCTGCTCAGGTGTTAGGGCTGTGTTCCCTGCAGGAACCAGCGAGCTGGTGCACAGTGGCTCTTAGTGGGGTCTCTCAGGCCCTCTGGCCTCCGGGACCTCAACACGTAACTGGTGGGGAGAGGCTGGTGCTGAGCCTGCTGTCCTCTCACCAAATGTCTCTTCCTGTCTGTCTTGCCAGTAAACTGGGTGGTTAGGAGTGTAAACTCTGAAGCTCTGAGTTCAAATCCCAACTTGGCCTCCTCCCAGCTGTGCGACTTCAGATAAGTTACTTACACTCTCTGTGCCTCGGGGATCAGTCTGTGAAACGAGTGACAGTAGTAACAGTCATCAGATCGGTGCAACCATTACGTGGTTTGCACGGCGCCTGGTTCACAGTAAGCTTGACTGCGTCTGGGCTGCGTGGTCACTGTGACCACTTTTGTGGACAAGCTGCTCCACCCTGCCTGTATAGGCTGGAGGCCTGCAGGAGGCAGGCACATGTCTGCCCTGCAGACACCTGCAGTCCAGGGGAGAGATGGACACATTCACAAACAGCCCTGAGAGACCAGCGGGCATCAGCTTCCATCTCCCTTACCCACGTCCACAGCCTCATCTCTCCCCCCTGCCCTGAGCACAGTGGGAAGCTTGGATTGCTTGCCCTCTGGGGGCCCCTCTCTTAGCTTCAGACATGACCTTGACTGAGAAAGCATCCTTCTGCAGTGAGGTATGTCCACAAAGCTCGGGGCCACCTCTGCTGCTCTGTGCATGTTCAGCGTCCCTGGGCTTTGCCTGCTCGGGACAGGCCCAGCAGGATGCTGTTAACCAGAGACTTTTGTCAGCGGCCTCCTGGAAGACTAGAGGCGAGGGCCCAAGCGTGAGAGCAGGAATTCAGGTCCCTCTTGTGCACTACAGTTAGCAGGTGGCCCCTCCTGAGACGAGGGAGAGCCGGCGCCTGTGTGTGAGCTCCAGAGAACCAGCGGGTGAGAGGAAGGACATTGCCTGCCGCCGAAGGCACCGACACCCGGCTCGCGTCACACAAGTCACTGATCTGCCGAGCAGGGCCAGTCTCCTCCATCAATCCGTGCTGACAGATGGTAGCGGAACCAGTGACCTAGAGGCAGAAGGCTCCATTTGTAATCCCGGAGCGGCCCAGGCGCCTGCAGGAGGGCAGAGGAGTTTGTAATAAAAGGAGTGACACAGGGTTGGCAAAGCTGTCTTGGAGGCGGAAGAGGCGGGAGAGGATTCGTGTTGCTGCTGGAATTGATACACACTGATTCTGTTCAACAAGTCTGTCTGTCTGTCTTTTTTTTTTTTGTGGTGGACTGTGTTAGGAGAAAGACAAAACCCTACCTAATCAGAAGTGCTTTCCTGAAAGAGTTCAAAGTGTGGTAGAAAACGCAGGACTCAAACACTCGAGGCCACCTGAGACCAGCGGAAGTCACCAACGTGACATGAGAGGAAGGGGCTCCGAGCTGCCGAGCTCCTGCCCCCGTGGGCTCTCAGACGCTCAGTCCACACGGCGGCACCACAGCTGGTGCTGCCACGTGCCGGTAGTGAGCCGAGTTCTTTCTGCAGCTCTTCTTCAGACTGCTGCGACACTCGCTCGGGAGGCAGTGTCATTCCCGCTTTTCACCTGAAGAAACCAAAGCTGAGGCGAAGCGAGAGGTTCATGGCCATGCGGCACAGGCGGCCGGCGCTGTGGCCTAGTAGGTTAAGCATGGCATCCCATGTGGGCGCTGGTCCACGTCCCAGCTGCTCCACTTCTGATCCAACTCCCTCCTGACAGCCTGGAAAGCAGTGGAGGACGGCCCAAGTGCTTGGGCCTCTGCATCCGCGTGGGAGACCCGGAAGTAGCTCCTGGCTCCTGGCTTTGCATCGGCCCAGCTCCAGCCGTTGTGGCCATCTGGGGAGTGAACTCTTGGATGGAAGACCTTTCTCTCTGTCTCTCCCTCTCTCTGTAACTCTGCCTCTCAAGTAAATAAAGTAAATAAAAAATCTTTAAGAAAAAAAGACCACGCAGCTCAAGAGTCACCCAAAGCAGTCTGTTGGCCGTGACGCCCACGCGTGTCCTTGTATGCCACGACTGGGGACGACGTTCCAGGTGGAGGCCATCTGGGCAGTGTTCCAGCAGGGTCCGTGTCGGGACAGGAGCAGACAGGAGCTGGGGCTCCAGTCCTCTTCATTCTTTCCCGTTTGAATGACCGCCACAGCTCGTCCACCTCGCTCGACCCCTGGAACACAGTGCGTGGAGGAAGGAGAGAGGAGTGACGGGGAGATGAGGAGATGGCTCCCCTTTTCCTGAATTCTCTCAAGAAAGTGAGGCTGCCCCCGGCACCGGGTCTGCAAGAAATGCCTGCGCATCCCACCCTTTCTGCCCAGGGACTGGACAGGGGTCTGTGCACGTCCCTCCCCCTCCCTCTCAGCCCTGGCCCAAGCAGCAAAGCACTGGCCTTTGAGAAGCCTTGGTGCCTGAGAATTTGGAAATGAGACTTGGAAGAACAATGGGAACAGCCAGCGGGCAGGGCCTGTGGCCTGTGGCGCTCTGCCTCGGAAGAGCCTGGCCTCCTGCCTGGCACGCGGGAGGTGCCGGGGAAAAGCCCCCACCCACCCGGGAGCAGTCCCTGCCTTCCTCAACTACCTCCCACCACGGGGCCCTGCCCGGGTGGCCCTGGGGAACTGTACCTCAAACGCACAGGCGTCTGGTGCCGGCCACACCTGGTTCCTGTCAGCCAGCACCTGCTGCCTGAAACACTTTTCCTGTCCCCATTTACCCCCCGGGTCGGGTTCCTGGAGGGGAAGCCACACAGCCCTCCAGCGTCTCGGACGGGTGGACTAGGCAGTGCCCGTCCAAGTGCTCGGCCCCAGTGCAGCAACGGGAAACAGGCCCAAAGTGGGGAGAGGATTTGGCCGGTCACTGGGCGAATCAGAGGCAGAGTCGCAAATACTCCAGACACGGGCATTCTACCCGCGTCTCCTCACACGGCACCGACGGCCAGCAGTGGTTGGGATTATGTTTTATTAAGATTTATTTATTTATTTATTTGAGAGGCAGAGTTATGGGGGAGAGAGGAAGGGGAGGGGGAGATCAAACTTCCATCCGCTGGTTCACTCACCCCTAGTTGGGCCTGGCTGAGCCAGGAGCTTCTTCCGGTCTCACACGTGGGTGCAGGTGCCCAAGGACTTGAGCCTCCTCCACTGCCTTCCCAGGCCATAGCAGGGAGCTGGAGAGCAAGCGGAGCAGCTGGGCCTCGAACCGGCGCTCCTAGGATGCCGGCGTTGCACTCGCTACACCGCAGGGCCAGCCCCAGTGGGCGGGATCCCCTTCTCGGGGCAGTGGAGTCACACCTGTCTGAGCCTGGGCGCCAGAAGCTGTAGCCCTGGGGTCCGGCCAGCGGGGCACTGCAGCTTCCGAACGACGGCCGCTGGCATTCGCGGAGCTTCTGGTCTACACGCGAGACAGGTGGGCCTCCCCCTCGCGGTTCCTTAGGCCCCAGTCGTTCACCCAAAGACATGGGGCGCCAGAGGTCTGGCGGGGCAAGGGAACCAGGCTGGCCGGGGGCTGCCCAGGGGGCCCAGCGGGTGCACGGCCTGGCCCGACCACGCAGGTTGCAGGAGGGGGCCGGGCCCTCGCTCGCCGGCTGCCGGACGCGCGATTCTGGCGTGGGAGGCTTCAGGGAACTCCAGAAATTCCAGCGAGGGATTCCGGGGCACCAACTCCCCAGAAAGTTGGCTCGCGGCCACCCCCGCGACGGCCGCGAGCCAGGGGCTAGATGGACAGGTCGGCGGTGTGGGTTCACGGCGGCGGCGAGGGAATGCTCGGGCTATGATGGCGGGAGCTCGGGGGCTCGGGGGAAGGCCTGGCGCGCGCCGGCCTCGACGCCGCCGCACGCGGGAGGGCACGCGCGCGCCGCCCCGCCCCCGGACGCCCCGCCCCCGCCGCGCGCCCCGCCCCGCCGCGCGCCCTCCCGCCCGCCCGCGCGCCGCGGCTCGGAGCCTCCCCATTGGCCGCGCGCCGTCACCTGACGCTCTGTTATTTCCTGTGTGTTGGGAGAATGGAGAGAAAAAACCCGGAGCCGAGCCGCCTTCGGCCCCTACGAGGCGGCCACGGCCTCCGCCGGGGGAGCCCGCCCTGAGGCGCGCCGGGCCGCGGAGCGAGCGAGCGAGCGCGCGGGCCGGCGCGAGCCTCGAGGGGCCGCGGCCCCGGCCCGCCCCGCCGCCGGCTGGGGCGTCCGAGCTGGAGGCGGCGGAGGCACCCCCACCCCCACCCCGCGCAGCGCCGCCCGCCGCCGCCGCTCCCTCCCCTCCTGCCCCCGGCGGAGGTCGAGGGACGGGGCGAGGGGCTCCCGCAGGTAACCGCCGCCCGGGCCCGAGGCGGGAGGGGCCAGGCCGGCTGGTCCGGCCTGGGGGTCGGGGGGCGCAGGTCTTCGCCCGGTCCGACCTGGGAGTGCGGAGCCTCCGGACTCCGGGCCGGGGCTCGGGTGCTGAGGGGGCCGGCCCGGCATGCAGCCGGGGCTGGGCCTGGCCTGGGGCTCCTGCGGGGCAGCGACCCGACCTGGCGTCAGCGCGCGGAGGGGTCTCGGTCCTGCCTGGGGCTCCGGCCGGGGTGAGGGCGCCCGTCCTGGCCGGAGGGAGGGGGAAGGTACCTGTTCGCAGCCGCGGGTGCACAGCCGGAGGGAGTGAACGGGCAGCGCCCGGCGTCGGCGGGGTCAGTGCCTGCGGCCGCGGGGTCCCGTGGCGCTCGGCTGTCGTTGCGGGCTGGAGGCGAGGCCGGCCGGAGGGCCGGGCTTGGGCGGGCGGGGAGGGGCCTGGCTGAAGGGAGCCGCGTCGGGGCGCCCGGGAGTCGGAGCGCGCCGGACCCTGCTGCCTGCCGGTGAACACCTGAAGCCATGTGGACGCGGCTGCTTCTCGCCTGTTGGGGGCGGAGGGCAGGTGCCGCCGCGGGGCGCAGGACACTTCCTGCGTGCGGCTGGCTCCCCTCCCCCGCCGCGGGTGCGGGTGCGGGGCGCTGCGTGAGAGCCGGGGGTCTCGGTCGGTGCGAGCCTGCGCTCGCCTGGGAAGCCCAGGGGGCTGCAGGCTGCTTGTCCCTGCTTTCGGGGGAAAAGTGGTTGAAGGAGAGCCGAGGGCCAGCCCGCGCGAGCCCGCGGCGCCCGCGGCTGGACGTGGGACACCTCCGTGCGCCTGCCCGGGAGTGGAATTTAGGGAGCCGGGGGGGGGGGGGGGCGGTGCCTAGGGGCGGCCGCCTGCCTCGGTTTGTGGGTGGGGATTATTGTCTCTCTTTGTGGTTGTGGGTGCTAGTGCAGTGTGCCGGTGGCTCAGCCCTTCAGCTTACCCTTAGGGGACAGATCAAAATTAGGATTTCCCCTCTTTCCTCTTGCTGTTTTTCCCTCGTAGAGTAGATGACTCTGGTAACTGCTGTAAAATGGATGGAATTCTAGAGCTGTTATCTAACAGGCTGATCTCTGAATGATAATTGGACCCTTATGTTAACAGTCTTAGTGAAGAATGAAGAGTTTTATTATGAAACGTCTTGCATGGGGTAGCTGCTTTGGGGAAAGGGGAGACTGCGCTGAATTCCAGCGTGGGAGACCTGGAACCTGCTTCAGCGTGGCCACCAAATAAACCGTAGTCCTCGGCGAGTCACCTGTGCTGAGCTTCTGTTAGATGACTGCCTTAACAGGTCAAACCACGTGGAGTTGGGGCTTTGTTTTTTTGTCTTTCCCTAGCTGGTGGTTTTTTTTTTTTTTCCTGGTGCTGTCTTAACCGTGGGCAGTTTACCTGAAAGATGCAGGCGGTACCTTACCTGGTCTTAGCAAGCAGCTTCCCGCCTCGCGGTTGTCCAGCCGGGCATAGAGGGGGGCGCGGGGGCCCTCTTGCCTGTGCTGTCCTGTGCTTCAGAACGGAAGGTGTGCAGGTTGCTGCATCCTCTGTAGTTTCATAGTATTTCCAGGTTCACAGAGTGTGTAAATCGAGACCCTCCCTCCAATCTTTGGTGGAAGAAGTTGTAAAAGAGACTTAAGTTAGAAGAGTGTGTGGCCGGCACAGCGCACCAGCCGTGGTGGCCATTGGAGGGTGAACCAATGGCAAAAGGAAGACCTCTCACTGTCCACTCTGCCTGTCAAAAAAAAAAAAAAAAAAGAAGAGGAAGAAGAAGAAGAAGAGTGTGTGACTACTTGAAAATTGCAGACAAGCTGTGATGGATCTTTCTAAAAACTCTTTCAAGGGACGTTTGGCATTTGGCTTGCTTCCGGGGCTTCCAGCTTCAGCATTCTCAGAACAGGGATGGGATGGAATTCTGAAATGTCTCCTGTGGAATTAAGTGTCACCTCGGGCGCACTAATTATTAGGAACCCTGATTCATTCCCTGATGATGGCAGGCTGCTTTCTTTCCATGCTAAAGAACCCCAATTAGTTCCACTGATTTTACGGTGTGTCAGGGCCTCAGGCTGTACTTTTGACTGGTGAGTACTTCTAGATCAGCCTCAGGATTTAGTCTTGTTTGTCTTAAGTTTTCAGTACTGTGATGCCTGAGGGACAGGTGCCTAATGCGGGGCAGTGTGTCTGAGATCATATTTTTGTTCCGTCTGTACAGTCATAAAGGAGGTAGGCTCAGAATGCTGAATTTGGAGATGGTTTGCTACAAGTTTTCTTGTTTAGCAGTAGGCCTAACACATGGCAGACACCTTTATATGGGGACACAGTTTTAAAGATTTTCTTAGTTGAAAGGCAAAATGAGAAAGAGGAGGAATCTTCCATCCACCGGTTCCCTCCTGAAGCCAGGAGCCGGGAGCCCCATGTGGGGCCCAGGTGGGGGCAGAGGCCCCAGCTCTGTGTCGTCATCGCCACCTTCGCAGGTACATTGGCTGGAAATGGCATCAGGAGCAGAGCAGCTGGCACTTGATAAGAGGATGGGGGGGGTCCCAAGCAGTGGCATACCCCTCTGAGCCACACTGCCTGCCTTTGCACCGGTGAGTGATTTGGGGTTTCCCGTGGTAAGCAGTTTATTTTGTTAGAATTTGAGGCATGACCTTGTGTTTTGTGTGGGATTTTAAAAACCTTAGTTGCTCAAGTTATAAGCAGTTATGCTCATGTGTGTTTTATGCTTATCTTATGGCTAATCAGGAGCAATTCTTTATAAAACTTTTATTCTACTGAGGTACTTTATATGCATGTAAGATGAGGTTTCTAAATTGATGTCGCATGACATGACATTTAGGTGTCATAATTTTTTTTTTTTTTTTTTTGACAGGCAGAGTGGAGTCAGAGAGAGAGAGAGAGACAGAGAGAAAGGTCTTCCTTTGCCGTTGGTTCACCCTCCAATGGCCGCCGCGGCTGGCGCGCTGCGGCCGGCGCACCGCGCTGATCTGATGGCAGGAGCCAGGTGCTTCTCCTGGTCTCCCATGGGGTGCAGGGCCCAAGCACTTGGGCCATCCTCCACTGCACTCCTGGGCCACAGCAGAGAGCTGGCCTGGAAGAGGGGCAACCGGGACAGAATCTGGCACCCCGACCGGGACTAGAACCTGGTGTGCCGGCGCAGCAAGGCGGAGGATTAGCCTAGTGAGCCGCGACACCGGCCCTCATAAATTTTTTTTAAAGATTTATTTGAAAGGCAGAGTGAAAGAGAGAGAGAGGTCTTCTATCCTCTGGTTCACTCCCCAAATGGTTGCAATGTCCAGGGCTGGGCCAGACTGAAGCCAGGAGCCAGGAACTTCTGGGACTTTAATGTGGGTGCGGGGCCCAAGGGTTTGGGCCATCTTCCACTGCTTTCCCTGGCTCATTGGCAGGGATCTGGATTAGAAGTGGCGCAGCCTGGACTTGAACTGGCATCCTATGAGATGCCAGTGTTGGAGGCAGCAGCTTTACTTGCTATGGCACAACTCCAGCCCCCACATAATATTTTTTTTAAGATTTATTTTATTTATTTGAAAGACAGAGTTACGGAGAGAGGTTGAGACAGAGAGGTCTTTCATCCGCTGGTTTACTCCCCAGATGGCTACAGTGGCTGGAGCTGCGCCAATCTGAAGCCAGGAGCCAGGAGCCAGGAGTTTCTTCTGGGCCTCCCACGTGGGTGCAGGGGCCCAAGGACTTGGGCATCTTCTGCTTTCCCAGGCCAAAGCAGAGAGCTGGATCGGAAAAGGAGCTGCAGGGACTAGAACCGGCGCCCATATGTGATGTCGGCGCTTCAGGCCAGGGCTTTAACCTGCTTCATCACAGCACTGGCTCCCCTATGTAATATTTTTTTAAAAAAATATTTATTTTAAAGGCAGAGTGACAGATCGGGGAGAGGGAGAGACAGAGACAGAGATCTTCATCCACTGGTTCACTCCCCAGATATCTGCAGCAGCTGGGTCTGGGTCAGACTGAAGCCAGGAGAGGAGCCAGGAGCTCCATCTGGGTCTCCCACATAGGTGACAGCACCTAGGCCATCCTCCACTGCTTTCCCAGGTGCACTAGTAGGGAGCTGGCTCGGAGGTGGAACAGCCGGGACTTGAACCTTTGTCCATGTGGGATGCCAGTGCTGCAGGCTGGGGCTTTAACCCACTGCACCATAGCACCGGCCCACTTTCATTTTCTTTTTGTGGAGGTTAAAAAAAAAAAAAAGGGACTAACAAAATAAATCAAAATAATGAAATCCTATGTATTGGTGTAAAACAGTGCATCAAAGGTGTACATTGGAAACATACTGAAACTAAGGCTTTTATAGTAGATCATAATTTGGTCGTGTTTCATTTAGACTAGATAGTTTTTTGATTATTAGACTGTTCAAAGTTTTTTAATACTCGTACCTGAAGTGTGGGTGAAAAAGGTTGTCATGGTGACAAACACAATCAGTACTTTCTGCATTAGAGCTGCGTTTGCTTTGTAGGTAATGACAGCCCAGCAGGATGATGGTCTGTCTAATGTGAGTTGTTGCTGTATCTCCTTGCTTCTATTTTATGCCTGATTGTAAGGAGTTGAGAAAGAAAGGATGAGCTCGGGGGAAAGTACCTGCACTGCGCTGTGTATGTGTAAGGGGTTCTGTGGGGAAGGGTGGAAGTTTGTTGGAACACTCAGCCAGCAGCCTGATGGGCAGATGGTTTCCACATTTGAGCACCACACCCCTGAATGCAGATTGAAGTCGACCTGTGTGTGTGCACACTTTGATTTTCACAAGCATGGGAGAAGCAGTGGTGGGTGAGATGGAGAAAGAGCCTGCTCTGGGGCTGGATTGTAAAGCAGTGAGTAAACAAGCATGTCAGGTAGTAACAGCTGTAATGAGAATTAAAAATAGTAATAATAACCCAAACACAAGCCCAGTGTGACCGGGCACCCAGTTGCTCAGAGTGGTTGCAGAGGAGTCCCTGTTCTGCAG